TTTTCTTTTATTGTCTAGAGAGTGGACGCTCTCTCCGGTGCGCTCACCTTGTCCTGCAAAAGGGGCGCTCAAGTGCGGCTGGTGCATTGTTTGTGCCACCGCATGGGGTGGCGGGGTGGGAGTTAGGGTGAAATAAAGAAGAGAAACAAAGGGGGGTGTTAGGGACCTCCCCCTTGACCTCCTCCGCCAAACTTCTGTCTGCTCACTCTGGTCCTTCGCTCCCTGGGAGCTTGGCTGCTTATATCCCAGAGGCCCTAGACCAGCTGGGGCAGCTTGCTCTGCTCTGCTCTGCTCTGCTAGGAGTCAGGAGCCATACTTGCCTTCTTGATTTTAAAGGAAGGAAAGACCGAGTGTAGGCATATATGTGCTCCAAATCTTGGAAAAGCTGGTTTTAATAAACTCAGAACAATGATTAAAAAAAGATCCTATGGCAAGTAACCCCAAGGAAAGGGCAAGTCCAAGATGGGTGAAAGGTTTTTTTTAAAGGAAAATCTAAGGGCAAAATTACAAACAATTCCAAAAAAAAAAAAAAATGGAAGATGACGTAGGAAACCAGTGTGGCTCCACATAAAGTTTCAAGTTGACCAGGAAGCAAACAGGACATGCACAGGAAGTAGAAGGCAGGCCTGACTAGTAAAGAGAAGCACAGGCATGTGGCTCAGCAACGCAGGAGTGACATCAGGAGGCTCAAGTGGAGCACACATTGTGGGTAATAAGGGATGCTAAGAGCAACGAAAATGTCTTTTCAGGTACATCCACAGCAAAAAACAGAGAATGAGGAGAGAAAGCTGATAGCAAATGACAAAGAGAAGGCTGAAGTGCTGATTCCAACTTGGATTGTCTTCTCAGTCTGTGCCCCCCACCCACTGTCCCTGGCAAAGATGATGCACAGACTGAAGAGATATGGTTGAAACTTGAGATTAATGGACAAATGGCCAAGGAACACATAATTTCATTGAGTGCAACTCTCCAGGGCCTGATGATGAACTACATGCCAGCGCAATTAAGTAACTGGCAGAAGAATTCTTGGAACCAGTTTTTGAGTGCGTTAACTCCCAAGGTGTGAGGACAGCAAAACTCTTGGCAGTGGCATCGGCTGTTTGCCCCTTGGCTGCAGCATCCTTGCACACTCAAAGTGCCTTCTCCAGTGAACTCTCCCCTCTCTGTTTGGGCAGCTGGCCACAGATGCTCTCCAGCCTGGTTCCAGATGATTTTGAATGCTGGCTCCCCAAGCAGTGTGGAATTCTTCACCCAGAAGTGAAGCAGTCTTGGGACCAATCGGTTGCCTGTTTCAGCGTAGGTCTCCATATTGATGCCTCCTGACCTCAGTGTGGCTTTTAATGGAAGCATTCATGGTCTCATTGGTGATATTTCTGTGCAAAAGCTGCATTTAAGCTACACTCACAAACAGAGCTGCAACTTGTCCTGCTTTCATGAAGCCAGGGGGTACCTTCTTTGTTCTTCTGTGCTGATTACTGTAAGGGGAACAGATAAGCCCTCCAGCATTCTCACTAAGAGGATTTTGCCAAAGCCTAAAATTGTCACGACCTATTAGAGCAAATGAAGCCTGGCATTTTACAGAAGGGGAGACGCTTTAATTTGATTGTGAGATACAGAATTTCTCATCTCCATGGTTTCTGTTTCAGTCTAATCCTCATCAAATGGCACAAGCACTTTCCTACTGGTGATTATTTCTAAATCTCACCACTTGACAAGGGAAACATAACATTATCCCCTCAGAATGGAGTTATGGTAGCCCTTTTCTGCTTGGAAGATTCTGGAAGATTCAGCAGGTCGATACAAACAGAGGACTCTTCCTGCTTGCAGTTTCCAGTGTTGGGCTACTGGATCCTGGACACAACCTGGATTTCCAATTCATTGTGGCAGTGGCTTTGGGGGACCTGCGTGTGACCAAGGGAATGTCCTCAGGCCACAGGACATGACCACCACAATTACTAATCTGATCGTGACAGGGACATGTATGGGATGGTTTCCTTGTCTTTCATGAAGTTGGCATGGTGGGTACCATTCTCTGAGGCTTTCCACTCCCGTCTTGCCTGGATGTATAGACACAATTTCCTTATGAGGGTCCTTGAATGAAATGGTCCAGGAGGTCAGACTAGATGGCCCGGGAGACCCCTTCTGACTCGCTCTGTTTCTATGTTTCTAACTATTGGATCTCTCTGGAAATGGCAACAGCAGGGACACCAAGAAAGCTTTCCGCAAACTGGGCTATCGCAAAGGCCTGTGTCGTGAGCTAGGCCTCCCCTCCCGAACAAGACAGGCACTTCAATTATCGGAAGAGTCTTTATTCTGTACAGAGACAACGTATTCACGAGCCTCGAAACACGCACTCCAGGTGGAAAGCTGGCCCCTCGCTCTGCCCTGTCACCCAGAGCGTGGCCTATGAACCCTTCGGGGCAGGTGTCTGGATGGGGGTGTGCTAAGGAAGCAAGCACGCCTACGTTCTTCCCATTGAGCTCCTAACTGGTCTGGCTGGTGGGTATGTCGACGGGCCGGCATGTCTCCTCCCAAGGACCCCTCTCCAGCCTGTTCTCCACCGGCTTCTCTCCCACAATGAGGAGGGAGGGGGCTCTGCAGTTGCCTTGGAGTGCTTTGATCCAGCGCTGGCTCGGGCAGCTCACCGGGAGAGTTTGGGCATCCGGGGCCTCGCCAGTCTCAACAACCCAATATCAGGGTGAGGAATCCGAGCCACAGATGGTCCAGCCCTCCAATCCCCCACTCTGAGTCCGAGCCGCCATTCCCACCAGAGCCCTCCATCTCCCATGCATGCTTGGGAAGCTCACCCGAGCACAACAGCCTGCCTAGTCCAGCAGTCTGTTCCCACAGTGGCTGCCTAGATGCTCCAGGAAACCCACCCGGAGGACACGGGTGCACAGGCATTCACCCGCCCCCCGAGACTGACATTACTAGGTAATCTCTCTCTCCAAAGCTGGAGGCAGCAGAGAAGCCTCAGAACTAGTAGCCCTTCATAGCTGACTCCGAGAATTTGCCTAACACCTAAGCTGCAAATGGCGCGCTATCACCGCATCTTTTCGAAGTGAATTTGCAGTTTGACTCTGCGCTTCATACAGAGCCCTTCCTTTTATCTGTCTGGAATCTCCCAGCATTCAGCTTCAGCTTCATGAGGTTTAGCATTATGAGGAAAATAATTCTGCCTCATTACTTTCTCCACACCAGGCACAATCTTATTAATTTTTATCCTGTGTACCCTAAAATGCCGCAGACACTGCATCCTTGCCTCAGGTTTCAGCTGCTCAGAGACCATGATCTTTTGACCTTTCCCAGCTCTGCAAATTAGGCAGTGATGAGAGCCGAGAGGCCTTGGATGGCGGCTTGCAGGGCCCATTTGGGTGGTACAAGGCCTTGCACGTCTGGTGAGCTGGCGTTTCCTGTTTCTACTAGGCCTCCAGACACGCACAACTCTCCCCCTCAGGCATCTTCTATGGGCGGCCATTCACTCCCGGATGCATTGCACCCCACTTGCCTGAAAGAGGAGTCACGCACCACTGGTGTCTCGGACTGGTGTGGGCAAAGCCTCGGCTCATGGACCCTTCACCCTGCCCAGGCAGCCCTTCAGGACTCAAGCGGCCAGCACAGTATGAACCAGCCGAGTGACCCCTCGGCCCAAATTCCTGGATAGCCCGCAATTTCAGGGAGGTGTTGAGACACGTGCGGGATAAAGGAGAGCTGGAGGACCCCCATCAGCCACAGGACCAACTAACCATCTCCCCACACCACCCTGTGGAATGGACCATGCAGGCAGCAGCAGCATCATGGGGAGCCAGTGCCCTTAGCCCAGCTCAAGCAGCCTCTTTGGAAAGACACTGTGGCCGAGGGTGTGGAAAGCCGCAGAGAAGTTCCAGAGAACCAACAGAGAGGCACTGCCCATGCCCCTCCAAGAAAAGGCCATCCCTCGGGAGACCCAAGGTGAGTGGCGTCCCTAAACCGGGGCTGAAGCCCTTTGACATGGGCCTAGAAATCAGGTTCATCCAAGAGTGCCTGGAGCTGGTCAGCAAGCACTTGCTCAAGCACCGTTCCGAGGAGGGGATGCTGGCAACTGGGTCCAGGGCGAATTTCTCCAAGAGCAGAAAGACAACCGCCTCTTTTAAAGATGCTGGTCCAACTTCTGGATCCAGCTGGGTGTGGATCCACCTCCCAATGGAAAGTTTTGAGCCAGTAGAAACAAGTGTCACCAAGCACCTGGCCCAGATCCTCAGGCCTGACTCGAGGGCTTCAATAGACAAATGTGGTGCCCATGTCCCTCCTTTGCCAGACTCTTCACAGGTGAAGCTTAATTGCAACAGGTAAAGCTTTTCAAGCAGAAAAAGATGGCAAGGGGAGATTTTTACCTGTTGAATTTCTGCCTGCCGCCTAGCTGCTAAAAGCATGTTTGGGTAGCAACCCAGAACTCAAGGTTTATGGCACAAAGAGTGCATGACTTGCTGAGCTGTAAGAGGAGATAGAAAAGCATCCACTTTCACAGAGGGTTGGGGGGAGGGGGTGGCTCGCAGCAATGCATCCAGCTGGAACACAAGGGCCATGAAGGAAAGGACCCCCGCGGTCCCTGCTGTCTTCGGTGCTCTGGCAGGGCCCTTCTGTTCTCCTCACAGGATGTGGATTAGGAAGCCCATCTGCACTGCAGGGTTCCCAGGAAGATGGGAGTGCTATTCCCTGCCACATACTCCACCGAGGGAACTCCAGTTCCTAGCAGCCTCTGCTGGTGCCTCAGGATGCCATGTGTCTTCTAGATCTTTCCACTGGCCACCCCTCAGAAAATGTCGCAGCAGCTACCCTGCTCCTTCTGTACAACCCAACACGAGCCGAGCAGGCGGCCTCAGAGGCTTCTGAGAAGTGCAGTCACCTCAGCAGGTCGCCTTACAGAAGTCGGCTTGGTGCAGATGGGCCACTTGAAGCCACCAAAGACGATGCAACGGTTGTAGGAGGTCACCCTAGCTGCAAACAAGTCAGGAGTCAGCTTTTTTGCTGCGAATATTTATTAGAATCCACTCACCCACCAAACACAATATATACTGGCCAGGACAAGAGAAAGTTTCATGTATTAAGGCAACATTTAGGCCAATGTTTTCATGATAAGAACTGGATTATTCCTCCACTGACTTTGCTAAGCTTGGTGTGCACTTTGTGGTGCTTGCAGAGTCAAATGGCGTTGCAACCACAGTCAAAAGGTCTCCAGGAAAACACATCATTTCACGACGACTTGAATGTTCAAAGCATGTTGGCTTAAAAATATTGTAATTTCAGCCCAATAAAGGGGGTATTATTCTCTGATTATTCCTGATTCATTGAGTCAATTCAAAAATGTTTGTAGTGCTAAATCCAGAAGGAAAGCTCTGTGTCCCTCACCTTTCATTTCATTTTTCAAGCCCTGGCATGATTTGCTTCAGGAAGAGAAAAGGAAGCAGAAGGGACCCAGGGATCCCTGTAGGGACACAGAACTATTGGCTCTTACCCACGAGCCACAAGCAGAATACGCCTTCCTGGCCATAGAAGCCCCATGAGAAGCCTCAGGGAAGCTTCTGCGGGAGGAGAGGCCTTCATCCAAGCCAGGGGACAGGATGCAGGCTTCGCCGTGTCTGGGTCTTCCAAAAACTGGTGGCATGCCCCAGCGCCCGGAGAGCGGAGGTGGAAGGGCCAGGCGGTGGCAGAGGAGCTGCTGAACTGCAAAGGACGCCTCCCCCAAGGCAAAGTCAGAAGGTGGCAGTGGAAGCAGCTGGGGGGGGGGCAGCTCTCTGTGGCTCCAGCATTACTCCAGGCCGTTGGGCAAGTTATGCTATGGGGAGGGAATCTCAGCAGCAGCCACTTTTTCCTGATGCTAAGGCTCCAGCCTGGTTGCCCCCGCACTAAGTACGCGAACACTTCTGGAGCCGGTCTTCCCTGGGGAGCAGTCCCAGAAATGGCTTGCCAATCTGCCAGGGTTATTTGGCAGCTACAGCGTGTGTGGGGCTGGCACCTGTGGCCCTCCGGGGGTTTGGGCCTGCAGCCCCCTCAGCTGAGAGGGAGGGTTCTGCAGGCTGAACTTCGGGGGGCCCAGAGACGCCCCTGCTCCAGCCGGGGGCTGAGCAACAGGAGAGCAGCTTCCAGGGAGAAACCAGGAGCCCCACTGCAATCTCGCCACTCTTCCACTCCGTGGGGGCACAGTGCCAAATCTCCCCCCCCCCCCACACACACACACCACACGTGCGCCATGCAGAGACAAGCAAGCCCTTCCGGCACAGCACAGGAGCCAGCGATTCCTCTCCACAGTGCTGCACAGACAGTGGCGATGAGAGGAAATGGCAGAAAAGCAGCTGTGGAAGGCAGAACGGTGCAGAGGCGGGACAGGCGGCAGCAGAGGGGCCCCTGGCCCGAGGCCAGCACAGGACAAGTCAGAAGCCACACGGGACACGGATCCTCAGTGCACGCAGGAGGTGGGCAAGCATCAGTGAGAGCTGGTGGGGCTTCCTTCTTCTGTGAGGTTCTTGAAATCCGTGGACAGGGCCAGCTCCTCAGCCAAGGGGGGTCTCCGCCACTCCTCCTGGGTCAGGATGTAGCCCACAACTGCCCCAAAAGCAACCAGCAGGAGACCCAAGAGGTTGGCAAGGACTCCTTCGGGGGGGAAAGAACTGTAGGTGTCCCTGCAAGAGCAGAAAGGGCGACATTACCACAGGCACGCCTGCCGTCCCCGGCCTGGCGCACACGTGTGTGCAGAGGACTCTGCTCACACGCAGCGCCGGTTGCCTCGTGCGTGTCTGTGCCGACAAGGGTGAGCACGGGCTGAGACCAGCTGCAGAGGGCAATGCCCCAAAACTGGGGCGGGAACCCAGGGCTCTCCGAGTGCTGCAGGACTCCAGTCCCCACCAGCACCAATCAACACGGCCAAGCCAGGAGGGGGCCGTGCAAGGCAGCTGCAAGGGGGCAGGCCTAGAGCTGGAAGCGCTGGGGAAGGCCCTGGCAAGGCCAAGGGGCCTGCAAGAGAGGAGGGCTCTGCTGAGCACCCCCTCCTGCAAGCAGAGGTGCCTGGGTGAGGGAGAAGGGCCCGGGGGTTCTGGACGCTGTCCTGAGGCGGGAGGGGGCTGAGCATGCTCTGCGTAGCTCAGATCGGGGGTGGGGGGCACGAGTGTCGCTCTTGGATGCTCTGCGGAGCGGCCCCTGCTCTAGCTCAGGGCCTGAGCTGGGCCACGTTCTTGCTCCAGCACTGGCCCGACTCCCGGCTGGGCGCTCCGGGTTTCCCAGGAAAGGTCTGCGCCTGGAACGAGCGTCTTTCCCGCAGCCGCCCGATGCCGACACAGCACAGAGCGGCCGCCACTTGCCTGATTTTGAAGAGTAGCAGTTCCAGGATGCCGAGCAGGGCCGTGGCGATCGAGACGACGAAGAGCAGGGCCCCGAAGAAGATGTGCTGCGGCTTGTACTTGCTGCGGAGCGAGAACGGGGCCCCAGGGAAGAGGAAGACGCCCAGGCCAAGCAGCCACTGGGAGCGAAAGGAGGCCGCTCAGCACCACGGGGCCCGACGCTCTCCGAGCCCGTCCCAGGCGGCCCACCAGCCGCGCCTGCCAGCCTTCCCGCAAAGCTGCACTGCGGACGGGGCTCCCCTCCTGTGCCCACGGAGGAGCCGGGCGGCCTGGGGCTCCCAAGCCCCCGCCACGCGCGCACACAGCCCACCTGTGCTCAAAGGCCTGGGCGTGTGCATGGCCCATGCGGCGGCGTGAGCGGCCCGCTCCCGCTCACCCCCGAGGCGTCTTAGCCCCGCCAACTGGAAGGCCCCACCTGTGACGTGAGCAGCCGCAGGAAACGCTGCCCCCCCCCCCGCTCCAGCACGTGGCCCCATGTGGCAGGCCTGCCCCCTGAGCTGGGGCTGGGTCTCCGGCTCCTAGAAACGTTGGCCTTGCAAGGCCTGGCTGAAGTCTGAAGCCCTGCCTGTTGTAAGTACAACGTGGCTCCCTCGTTATCTTTTTCTGGCCCCACTGAGTGCCTTTGCAACGGGGGTGGGGGGCGCCCTCTTGACCTGATAAGATGGGTCCAAGGATGAGCACCCCCCGCGTTCGCTGCCTTGAGCCGACCTCTTCTCGGCCCTGCCAATACCCCTGCCCTCATGCAGGCGGCAGCTGGTGGGACTGCGCTTTGAAAGCCTGGCCGCTGGCCGCTGGCCGCTTCACTTCCTTGGGTCCACACGGACCTCTTTCCCCCGGCCAGGGCAATACACAGGGGCAGTCTCAAGGAGCCCTCGGCCCTCCAGCCCTCTCCAGGGCCCCTGGAGCTGCAGCGCAAGCGGAGCCACCCCGAACAGAGCCCGCTGCTTTTCTCTGGCTCGCCAAGATGCCCGCCCCAGTCGCCCTTGCGCAGGTGCGCTCCGGGGAGGCAGCCGGAGCCAGGGGTGCCTGCCCGACTACTGCTCCCGCCCACCTGTACGACGTAGAAGCCCAGGGCGAGGATGCCACACCAGCTGTGCAGGCTGTACATGTCTGGGAAGCCCTGCTTCTTGTGGTACTGGAACACGGCCACCAGACCTGAGGAGGGAAGAGGGGAGCGCTTGCGGGCGGCCTGCTTTCTGCGCCCTCCCCCAGTGCCAGTCGGCAGGGACAAGAGCAGCCCTGCTCCCAAAGGCACCTGAGAACGGGCAGTGGGCAGGCCCGGCCGGGCCTGGAAGAAGCGCAAGGAGGCATTTGGTGAGTGGCTGCAGGGGAGGCCCAGCTAGCAGCACCTCCGAACTTTCCCAGCCTCGCAGGCAGGCCCGTTGGTCAGGCCAGGCTCTGAAGCCCTTCCCTGCACCGCCCTGGAAGCCTGCCCCGGGGAAACCGGCAGGGGCGGCAGGCGGCAGGGGAGAGAGGCTGCTGCATGGGGAGGGAAGCCAGAGTGCCTCTGGGTGCCCTGCCTGACAGCCCGCGCTGTGCTTCGCGGCCCGCCCACCGCCCAAGCTAACGGATCACTGGCGGGGAGGGAGAGCTGGCAGCTGGCATCAGCCCTGGGCGACCCCTCTGGGCCCCAGATCTGCCTGGCCTCACCGTGAGGGCTGGCAGCTGAGCCGAGACTGAGCTCAGGCAAACCAGGAGGAGGCACTCCGCCCTCCCCGAGCCTGGTGCCCCACTGGGACTTCAAGGGGGCGTCCGGAGGGCTGAGCTTGCATGGCTCAGCAGAGGCCCGCCCGCTGGGACTCACCGACCAGCACGATGATAAGCGCAAGTGCGTGGAGCAGTCCGTGCAGGATCTTGGTGGAGCGCCTGCTCTCTCTCTTGAAGACACGGTACACCAGGAGGGCTGGAAGAGAGACCGGGAGCGGAGAAGGCCTGTGGGCACGCCAGGCGACAGCAGACCTTGCTGCCAGCTGGCCCCCTGCCCAGCAGAGCCTGGCGGCACCCGCGAACATGGAAGGCAGCAGCCCCTTGGCCTCACCCCTTGGGGCTTTGCTCACTGCCAGCGGACATGGGAAGAGCTGCTCCGGGCCTGCTCAGAGGAGGCTCCGCCAGGCAGGTCCCAGGGAGCTCCCCAGAGGGCTGGGCCAAGTGTGCACTGCACTCTCCCTGCAACAACTGGCCACGCCATGGTGGTCCAGGAGATCCAAGCCCCCCATAAGGCTCACATGGACTGTGGCCATGGCCAGTAAGCTGAAAAGGTGGCAGGCCTGGGCATGGGGCCCAGCAGGAAGAAGCTGCTCTAGGAATTCTGGTCCATGGAGGCCAGGTCTGAGGCAGGTGAGCAGGGCTGAGTGCCGACCCTCCATGCCCCCCTCTCTTTCTTTGAACTGAGCAAAGAGCATCAAGCAGCCTGAGGTGTGAGCAACAGATCCTGTAGCTAGTACTAGTAACAGAGGAAAAGCAAGCAGGAAGTGAGTAACGTGGGGTTGGGAGCGCTTCTCCCTGTTTTGATGGAACTCTTAGCTAGATTTCCAGTTGAAAACCTTAGAAGAAAAGTTTTGAAATGACAGTTCAATCGGAAATGGCAACGCTTCCTTTCTGAAACACTTGAGCTTTTGGTCAGAACTGTGAGGTGGCATTTGTAGCTGGGGACTGATGGGGTTGAATTCTCATATCCTAAATCCCCTCCTTTGTCCTAAGCAGGTCACAGAGGGTCCATACCCATGTTCCCAAAGGGTGGCATTGTGCCTCTGGAACTCTCCAGCCCTGGGAGGTATGCGGGCCGTAAACCACCCAAAGAGCTCCAGTGACTGGGCTGCATGGAGATTAATAAAGGGCTAAAATTTAGGCAAACCCACTGACTGACAGCCCTGAGGGAGGAGGGCAGTGCTGGGGGTGCATTCCCAGAGCGGCTCTTCTGCCCTCCGGGCTGCTGCATGGATGTCAAAGGCCAGTGCAGCACAAGCGGCTCTCTTCCTGGCAGGTGCCCTGTGACGCCAGGCCTGCTTGCCAGGGGTGTGGGCTCAGGGCCACTGCAAGGCAGGCCGGAGCCCTGGGAGCAGAGCCCAGGAAGTCTGATGGACGCCCACTCGCAAACGGATTCCTCGCAGGACCCTTCTGAGGATGCCCCCCAGGCCCTGTGAAAGGTGCGCCCGCCTCCCTCTCTCGGCCCTTTGCCATTCTTACCATCCCCTTGTAGAAAGACCATCCCGATGATCATGCACAGAGGGTGGACATTCAGCTGCAGTTTTGAGCTGTCCCAGGCAATGCCACCTCGATACTGGCCCATCCAGGCCCCCGTCATGGTGATCGCTGCAAGGCCCAGGATCTGCGAGGCTGCCACCAGGGAGGTGAACCCTGTGGCGCTGCCCGGGCTCCTGGCAGGTGACTCCTCCATCCTGCACTCAGCAGAGGCCCCGGCTGTCACACGAAGAGAGAACGTTGTCAGTCAGGGCGAGCAGAATGTGTGCTTCACGGAGGCAGGGTGGAAATAGCGAGAAGGAGCTGTAGGGAAGAAGCATCCCTTGTCCAAAAGTGCCCTCACATAGGATCGTAGGACACATACAGATTGCTCTGTATCCCTCTTCACCAGCGCCTGGTTCACACAACTGGAGCAGCTCAGGAATGGTCAGAGTGGCCCACAGAATGCTTGTTACTGGGCCAAATTCAAATAACACAAACCAACAGCATTCTTTAAAGCTTGCAATCAATTTTAATGTTGCCTTGCATGTTGGGTATTACGTAGTACTACATCAAGCTTTGCCCAGAAGAGCTCATAATCACACAACTCTGCATTCTCAAAAGCTGTCTGAAATCTACATTGCCAAGGCAAAAGTGCCACAGGTTCATCTCATGAAAACTACCCTTGGATGTGCAGGCAGGAGCATGGCTTCCAGATCGAGGGAGGTGTTGATACCGCTCTACACGACTCTGCTGTGCCCACAACTGGAGCACTGCATACAGTTCTGGGCTCCACATTATAGCAGAGACAAAGTTAGGTTAGAATCAGTTCAGCGCAGGGTCCCAAGAATGGTAGCCGGGTTGGGAGGGATGGCATATGGAGAGAGACTGAGGGAACTGGCTCTTTTCAGCATGGAGAAGAGGAGACTCGGAGGGGATTGTTCAGCGATTTAAAGGTATGTGAGGGGATGTCATGTGGAGGAGGGCTGTGAGCTGTTCTTCCCTGCAGTGGAGGGTAGGACACGTTCCAGTGGGGCAAAGCTCAAGCAACCAGGCTTCAGGTTGGATGTCAGGTTAGGACCCCTAGGATACGGAATGGGCTTCCATGGGAGGTGGTGAGAGCCCCATCAGTGAGGGTGTTCAAGGAAAGACTGAACAAACACATGCTGGGGATTCCATGAGCAGAGCCAGCTAGAGCCAGGGGTCAGACCAGATGGCCCAGGAGGCCCCTTCTGACTCGCTTTGTTCCTATGTTTCGCTCCCTCTGAACAACTGAGACACCAGCAAGCCACCCCTGCAAGACAGACAGCACCTGCCACTGCCTCACAAAAAAGAATGCAATCAGCAAGCAAGGACCTTCACCCTTCTCCACAGACTGCCCCCCCACCCCCCATTTCTTGCAGCCCTGGACTCTGCCCTCTCAGGATCCGCCAGCTTTGATCATGCTCACTTGGGATTACTCTGGGCAGCCTGTCCCTTCTGCTCATACAGCTCTGGGTCAGCCTTGCTTCCTTGTTCATCCGGTTGGTGCTTAAGCCCAACAGCAACCCAGTGGATAAGCAGCAACTGTTTGGAGGAAGATTTCTGTCCAGAAGGGAGTGAGACAGAATCTGGGGCTTCAGCTGGAAAGGTCAATTATTAGCGGTCCCTGTATTAAGCTTTCACTTCCAGCATTTGTAGCATGGGGGAACGGTGTGCACCCGGGCATTTGCCCAGGCCGGCTGCAGTCACGCCGAACACCCAGCTTCGCTGCCAGCAATCCGCACTGATCTTGGAGTGGGCTCCAGGATGAGTCGTTGCAGGTACTCCAAAGCAGCAGTGAGACAGAAACAATCCTTGCAGAAGGCACCCCCATTTTTCTTAAGCAAGACTAAGTCGTTTATCTGCTTTGAAATTTTATCTGTGATAACATATTTACCAATTTACCTGGAGCAGATGCTAAGTGAACTAGCCTTTTCTGACTGCTCCCATATCCTGGCCACCCACCTGGCCAATCCTCCTGTTGTTTTACCTGATCAGGAAATAGAGGAAAGTGGGCTTGAGATCTGCCCCAGGCAAACAGGTGATCAATATTAAATCCTGAGTATATATGAGTTGGGCAGCATACAATGCAAGAACAAAGCACTCCTGTAGGAAATTGTGTGTGTGTGTGGGGGGGGTGCTTTTCATCAGTGGACCACAGACACACTGATTCCTGGCCAGAGATGGAGGCTTGATTAGATCATAAGGGCTAACTGGATTGGCAAGATTAAGGCAACTGGTTTACTCACTCCTGCCTCCCTGAAAATGCCGGCTCTGGCTCTGTGCTGGGCAACGCAGCCTCCGGGGCAGATCTGTCCCCAGCAAATGGCACGAAGACGCGTGGTCTGGCCAGGGAGCGGAGTGAGGAGGCGAGGAGACCCTCTCGCGGGCACTGCTGCTGCCCCGCCCCGCCGTTCCACGTCCATAGAAACAGGGCAGGTACTTTACCAGTCACACCAAATCCTTCTTCTGCTTAAGTGTTTGCCTCCTTGTTTTTCAAAGATCCCTCATTTGCCCACATTTGCCACCAAGAAAGCATATTTGGCGTGAAATGTAAAAGAAATGCAAGCCAGACAACAGCTGCAAGGATTCCTGCTCTTCTCCAGAAGTCAAACAAGCAACTGTCACTACTGCCAGGAAAGGTGTGATTCTGGAGGAGGACACCACGGAGGAGGCTGACAGCATTCCGGGCATGATGCTCATGGATTTATTTAATAATTTATTTTTGCATTAAAAAGCAAATGCCTAGGCCTCACAGGTGTGAATAAGCAGAGCCAGGAGGGCTTCCTTCAGAAAACAGAAGCAGGAAGTGTACATAGGAAAACAAAAGGGAACACAAACCAGGGGAAAGCACATGATAATGGATGCAAATTGGTTTCCAGGAACACATATACATAGATGAATGCATTAGAAGCAGGAAACTGGCTAAGGAGTTGGCTGAATGCTTGCATGTCAAAGGAGTTCAAGAAATGTCAAAGGAAGCTAAGGATAAGCATCTTTTGTATCCGTCCTCACTGCAGAAAAGGCAAGGCAGAGGCCTATGCCTGAGCTGATGTTTTGGGGTGGGGGGCACTGTACTGACATACCAGCGGTGATGGGAAATCAACCAACAAAAACAAGCTGCAGGGTCCAGAAGGAATTCATCCAAGAGTTCTTAAGAACAGTCAGGATCTAAGAACAGCCAGGCTGGACCAGGCCGGTGGCTCATCCAGTTCAGTGCCACATTCACACGGTGGCCCACCAGCTGCCCACAGGTTCCCTCAAGTGGGATGGGTGCTGGATCGCTGCCTTCCCAAGCTCCTCCGCCACTTGTGTATGGAGGCTTGCCGCCTCTGGCAGTGGAGGCAGACACCGGTACCCTCTTCAGGAACTCAGACGTGAAACTGCTGATCTGACAAAAATATCCAACATGCCATTAAGCCTGGCATTTGTGTCAGAGGTGGCATGCCAGCACACACAAGGAGCCTGGACGGGAGGCTGCTGTGGCGCTCATGCCCTGCTTGTGGGCTTCCCGCTGGGACAGCTGCCTGGCCACTCTGTGGACCAACTGCTGGATGAGATGGGCCTTGGCCCGGCCCTGCATCAGGCCTCTTCTGATGCCCTTCTGAGCGGAAAGCGGCCCATGCAATGCCCCATTTTGGAAAAGGGGACCACAAGCTTCCAGGGAGCTTTCTGGAGGCATCCAGTTGGATACGGCGGGGACAGGATGGTGAATCAGCAAAGCCATTGGCCTCACCTAGCATGGCTTTTCTCAGGTCCTTCTTCATACCTGCCTGACCTGTCCAGGTTGCTCTCAGCAACTTTCATGTAATGTACTCTCACTTACATGAGCGGCTGAATAAATGGTGGGGAAACAGCCACTGGCAAGCCCAGCATCACCAGACCGCAGGCCCCGTTTCCTGGCCAGGGGATCGCGTGCGTGAGAGAGAGAGAGAGAGAAAGGGTTTTTCCAGACTAGAAAATACAAGAGCCATTTAAAAGGCCACGCGCAAATGATCCATTTGGCCTAGAAAAAAGGAAGCAGAGCAGGAAGATATATCTGAAAGTCAGAAAGTTACTTAAAATGGTTACCAGCACCCTTGAAGGCGTGTCACACAGCTGCTCACATACGGGCTATGCAGGCCCACTCAGTAGCGGACACCCCGCAGCGGCCAACGCTTCCTTGGCGACGCAGTTGGAAGGAAACAAGACGAGGCGCGCTGCTCTTCCCCTGGACTCTGCCTGGTCCTTCTGACACGGGCAGAGGGGCTCCCTCCCTGCCGCCACCGGGCTCGGGCAGTGGATGTCTCGAGCACCTCCCAGTGGCTTTTCTGCAGTGAAAGCACTCTTCCCCCCCCACTGATGGTCCTTGAAGAGGTGGTGGCAGTGTTGGTGGCAGTGGGAGGGGGCTGCTTGTCCTCTGGGGTCTTGCCCCAGAGCCATGCAGCACACATGCTCAGCCATGTCGAGAGGAGCACTACACAGAAGCGGAGCGAGTCAGAGGGGGCCTCCCAGGCCATCTAGACCCACCTCCGGCTCCAGCCGGCCTCACTCACGACGTGCCCACCATGTGCACGTCCAGAGCACTGCCTGCCCTCCCCTGTCCATGTCTGCTCCCCCCTGCACTTGCCTGTGAGAAATGGCCACCTGCGGCCACCACCTTTTCCCACCGCACAAAGGGCACCGTCTCAGCACCGGTGGGTGGCTGGCTCCTCTGCCCCTCCCTGGGCTTCCCTTCTCACCTGCTGTGCTCTCTGACAGCCATGGGGGAGGGGGGAGGCCCCAGGGCAAAGGAGGCCGGGCAGGTGACGCCCCCCCCCCGTGAAGGATCCTGCACCACAGGCTACACAGCACTCTTTCTTACTTGGAATGCTCTTATTAATAAAAAATAAAAGTAGTAACAGACAGCAGTGCTCTGGAGAAGACAGCAAACCCAGAGGGAAGCGAGCTGGAATTGGAGCTAGGAGAGTCGTCTACCCAGGTCAGTGAAACCTAGGAAGGGGGGAAAACGTAGGACAAGGGCTAAACATCTGTTCCCCCACTACCAGCTCTCCCCAACAAATACTCAACTCTGCATTCATAAGACCACTTGTGATATGAATGCACAGGAAGATCTGGGCCCCACAACTGTGCAGTTTCAGAGTGCAGTCCAACAGGTGGGGATTCTTCTGGAACGAAGGGGACCTTAAAAAGGCCTTGCAGGGCTCCTCCACCTTCTCTTCCTAAACAGCCCCCCCCCACCCCGCACCAACAAAGCCTTCAGTTGTGTGAATGA